TGATCGAGATCTTCAGGATCGGAGGATACTCTCCACACACCAACTATCTCTTTCTTGGTGAGCGCCCGCCATACGCAGCGCATCTCAGAAGCATGGCACCTGACCAGTGCCCTCATTCTTCTCGCAGGGGACTACGTGGACCGAGGCTACTTTAGCGTGGAGACGATGTCTCTACTGACATGTCTCAAATTGAGGTATCCCGACAGAGTGCAGTTGATTCGGGGTAATCACGAAAGTCGGGCTGTCACTCAGGTGAGTCAAGCAAACATGCTAAAGCGTCAACAGGTGTCTTGGTTGTCTTGCGAGCACGACAAGAAGTCCAACTTTTTTGCGCTTGCGCTCGAGTGGGCTGCAGGGACTGTTCCGACCAGAGCCCGGCACGGCATTGTGATTCACATGGGCTACCTGCTGTCCATCAATTTTTCCCTCATAGAAGGTCGGCTCTCTTACCTTCTATACTCGGCCTTGTTGTCTGCTTCCCAGACTTACGGCTTCTATGCTGAATGTATGCGCAAGTACGGAAGCGCCAACGTGTGGACCTACTTTACGGACATGTTCGACTTTCTCACTCTGTCGGTCGTCATTGACGACCGGATATTCTGCGTGCATGGCGGTGCGTCAGGTGTGGAAGCGGTTCTGCGCGTCGAATTTAGATTGACGCTGATGCTTGCGATCCCGAACTTCGGCAGGCTTGTCTCCCAGCGTGCACTACATAGATCAGGTCAAGATCATCGATCGGTTTAGAGGTGTGTACGAAAATCTGCGTGGTGCCCAGATCGCTGCTGACGAGAAGAGGTTGTGGTCTTTGCCGTCAGAAATTCCCCATGAAGGTCCAATGGCGGATTTGGTGTGGTCAGATCCGGATCCTGCTGCGACAGACTTTGCTATCAGTCCAAGGTACGTCAAAGCCGACTTCTGTGGACCGGCGGCCAGCATCACGGTCATCGCTGACAGAGATTCGCTTCCTTTGTAATCCCAGAGGTGCTGGCTACACGTTTGGCTCAGCAGTAGTCAAGCATTTTTTGGAGCGAAACAACATGCATCACATTCTGCGAGCTCATCAGCTCTGTATGGAAGGGTTCTCGGTGCTCTACGACGACAAGCTGTCGACGGTCTGGTCAGCGCCCAATTACTGCTACAGGTGCGGGAACATGGCGAGCATATTGGAAGTTGGACCAGATGGATCAAAACACTTCAATACGTTTGCCGAAGCGCCTGAGAATGAGACGGATGGACAGGCTCAGCAGAACCAACAGCAGCGAGAAACTCCTCAGTACTTTTTGTAGGGACGTGTTTGCTCCGATCGCTCGCTTGACGAGACATGTAGGGACCGAAGCAAGCAGTCGCTCGTTCACTCTTTCTACGTCCGCCTCGTTCGCCTCCTGCTCTTCAATCTCTGCAGCTAACAAGTCGTCACCACCTCAATCTCTGTCCTACCTCGCTCGCATATAGCAAGCCAGAGCAACCTCTCTGAAGCCGGTTGCTCCTGTCTCTTGTCTCTTGCCTCTTGCCTCAGCATCGCCGAGCTTGATCGTCGCTGGTGCCTTGTATAGTAGAAGATCACGATCGATATCCTCATCAGCACGTCCTGTTCAAAATACCACGCTCGTTGACGACTTGCGCGGGAACATCGAAAAGCCAATTAATCGTGTCTGTCTTGTCTGAGATTGTCTAGACGCCACGAGCATCGATTCTTGAATCGAGTTGGGGTTGCGATCTTCTAGACTGTTGACGAATGCGGGTCGCATTTCGTCGTCGTTCGTGATTCGCGATTCAAGATTGTTGATTGTTGAGGTGCAACTCGTTGGCTTACCCATGAAGCGCCTAGATTGTTCTCGGGAAGCCCCTTCGCTTGCCTCGGCTCAATCTCAACTCGTGACTCTGTGCTCGCTCCCGCGCCTTCTGCGCCTCGCACGCCATCCTTTGCTTGGCCTTCGCCGGGGATTTTTTCGAATCACGAATGCTCATCAACAAGTCACCGAGTGGAGAGGTGCGGGAACGGCGGTGCATGCGGTGTGCGTTCTTTGCATGCAATCCTCGCGCTCGCTTCGGTCTAGAAGATCGCAATTTGGTGGGCAATTCAGTCGGATCCATCATTTGACCAGATTCGCTTGCCTTGTTTATTCTCTTTCGCTTTCCACCCTTCATCTCTTTGAGTAACATCATAGCCAACGTGCTTCCACCAGTCGTCCCTTTGCAGCGTCATTGCTCCAATTGCACCGAGTCACTCCCTCTCAAGCATCCAAACAATGGCGACCAACATTACTCATCATGCAGGCATCACCTACTCTGAGCGATCTTCAGCTCTAGGCGTTGCGGGCTCGACGCTTTGGTTCACTGGTCTCTCAGCATCCGGCAAGTCCACCATCGCAGTAGCACTCGAGAACAGGCTGATCAGGAGCGGAAGGAACAGCTTCAGGTTGGATGGAGACAATATCCGGTTTGGTTTGAACAGGGATTTGGGCTTCAGTCCAAAGGACAGGGAAGAAAATATCAGGAGAATCGCAGAGGTGAGTTGAGTGTAGAGAGCGCATACACGCAAATTCGCTATCAGCTCAAGCGGTGCAGGTGTGGGCACGCAACGAGCACTCGTGCATGAGCATTCTGACTCGCATTCGCTCCCAAACCCCCCATACGCGATGTCATCGTCGTACCCCAGGTGTCTCTGCTCTTCGCGTCCAGCTGCGCAGTTATCATTACCTCCTTCATCTCGCCCTACGCTGCCGACCGAGACCTGGCTAGATCTCTGCATGCAAAGCACGATCCTCCCCTCCCTTTCATCGAGGTTTTCGTCGATGCTTCTGTAGAGGAATGCGAAAAGAGGGATCCCAAGGGCCTGTACAAGAAAGCTAGGGCTGGAGAGATCAAAGGTGAGCAGATAAGGTGGGGTAGGACGGGGACAGCCGTTCCTGAAAAGTCATTGGGCATGTATCCAAGCTGCCACCTCATAAATCGTAGACTCTCGCTTACTTGGTCGCTTCATCACAATCGCAGAATTCACCGGCATCTCTGCTCCGTACGAAGCGCCTCAGAAGCCGGAGATCCACATCAAGGCCGGCGCTACATCGGTGGACGAGGCGGTGGAGCAGGTCGTTCAGTACTTGGTCAAGAATGACATCATTCCTCCCGAGAACTAGAGCGTCACTCGAGGCAACCAATTAGCCCGAATGTCTGGAAGACGCCAACAAGCACCTCACAACCTCACATGGACTCGGCATCACAGATGGCGCATGAACAGGGATGAAATGCAATTCGCATTCTCTGATGAACGAGCTCAAAAGAGTGTCGGCAGTTGGATCAGGTCTCGATGCGTTCTGAAAGGATTGACTCACGACCCTTCGAGGAGGGCGCGCGGATGAGATATCCGTGCCGATAAAGTAGATTCTGGAAATGGGGGAGAGCAAGAGTCCTTGATCCGATGAGTCGCCCAAAAAGAGAGTGATGCCTAAGTAGCTCGAAAAGTCAACATTAAGTGTACACATTAGACAAAAGTCTGTTCGATTTTGGAGGGCTGAGGGGGTTAGAAGGTTGCCTATCAAGCGGATGATCCCGAAGATGATGACGCAAAGTGAGAATGAAGCCGACGCTTCTTGTTGCGATAAACGACGCTTTTGGTGACGGGACACTGGTGACGTTGCGAGTGGAGGGAAAGGATTTGAGATGAGGATCGGTGAAGATGAGGAAGACTGGTGACACGTGAGGCGAAGACAGTCGAGGAGCCTTTTCGCTCTCACAGAGCGTAGGAGGAAGGCTAGGCGTGAAGCTGCAGCGGATCGGAGAAAGGCATTGAGTGCAGGAAAAGCGACGTGATCTGGCAGGGCTCCAACTTTTAGCATTGCAGAGGTGTTATTTCACACTTGACATCACCGATGTCCAAGCGAGATCACATCCACTGCTGCGCTGCCGAAGGCGAGGTCGAAATGGTGCCAGACAGCATCAAAGCCTTGCTTTCGGCTTCGTCGAGGTTGGCAGCGCAAGAAAGGGTCAGCGAGTGATTTCTGTTGCGCTGATGGGGCAGAGGGATGCTGGGATCAACATCATCGTCCATGTCGCTGGAGCTCGTGTTGTTGCTGATGCTGCCTTCTGTGTCGCAACGCCAAAGATCGGGGTTGTTGCTCAGGGTAGAGTTGACCGAGGTACTTGGCGTCATACCTTGGTTCGACTCAGTCTGCTCCCGTTTCACGCCATCCAGACCTGCAGGCGGTCCGATGGCTGGAGGGACGCTGTGCTCCACGGTGTGTGAAACCAGTGCTTCGCCGCGTGTCATGTAAGGGTTCAAGTGAGGACGAGGTGCGCCGCTCATGGTGTGGCGCATTGGGCTCGTGTGGTGAATCAAGGGTAAAGCGGGGCCATTGTGCACAAGTGCCGAAATGGTGTGGGCGCGATTGTGACGTGTCGGTCCAATCAGTCCGGCAGTGCCCTCAGCTTCGTCAAATGCGCTGTAATTCGCAGCATAGGCTCCAAAAGAATTGCGAGGCTCCGAGGGAGAGCTGAGCAATGTCCTAGGCTGGCAGTAGTAGCTTCCGACGCTCTCCATCGGTGAAACACCAGCGCCTTGGTCCAGCCCACCGCACGGCGAAGTTTGGTAATGCGGCGAGACTTCTGTGCTAGACGCCGGAGTCAAGGTCTGCCATGACGCATAACTTGTCTGCGGGGAGTTGGAGCACGAGGACGAGCCTTGCGTGTTGTGCTGCTGCATCGGCGCAGTGACCCATTGCGGACTAATCGACCGATCGTCGTACACCGCTTGTTCGTGTCCGCGGTGAGGGGTTTCGCCGGCCAACCAGCTCGAAAAGGCGTGCTGCGGCACTGGCCTGTGAGCCTGTGGGTGGTCGATGTGCGACTGCATGCGGCCATTTTGGAAGCTAAAGTAGGGGGACTGCGATGGAACCTCGATCTCGCTGTGGTCGAAAGAGGTCTTGACGGGAGATGTAGCGTTGGAGATGGTGTGTCGACGATTCGATCCAACCTGGCTGATGCGGACTACGCTCTCTGAGCCTCGACGGGCGTACATGTCATTGGTTGTCATCTCGTTGTCGCCTGCTGAAGATTGCCTTGACTCCATCGCTTGGCGGGCGCGCACGCGAACGAGATACATGTACCTGCGCGCGATGTGAGACAGGTCAGCGTGGACATCGTGGGTGTGATGGACGGCCTCATCCTACTGACCTGTTTTTCAAGCTGAGACCTGTACGGCGCCCGAAATGCTCGTGAGCAATCCGTGACCAGTGCCGACCGACGGCGCGTACTAGATTGAGCAGACGCTCGTCCTCTTCAGGTGTCCATGGGCTGCGGCAGATCGTAGGGTCAAGAACGTCATGCCATCGCTTGGAGCATTCTGATGGACCAAAAGAGCACCATCGAAAGGTCAAAAAAGGAAGTACGGCGACCGTCGACGCATTCAGAACTCACGTTCGCTATTGCGAGTGCGAACTTCTTTAGCTACTTGCATCCACTGAGGACCATTTTTGGCAATGGCGTGACGCAAGCGCTCATCTTCTTCGTCGGTCCAAGCGCCGCTGCTCGACGTTGCGCGGTCTCTCATGCACACCCAGCGCTTTCTGGCGTCTTTGTTGTTGCGATTGGGTGGCAGAGCAGAAGCGACTCTGTGCCAGTCGATGCAGCCTGGCGTCTCTGTGCGCAGCCGAGGCACGGGAAAGAGATTGAAACTCAGAAAAAACCTGCAAAGTTGGCCATGCTATGCGGAGCCACAAGCGCTCACCTTTGGTCACGGCTTCCACGAGCAGTCGTTCTTCTTCCGGTGTCCATGGGCAGCGCTTGCTGATCCTGGTTGCAGGTGGCATAGCCACAAAGTTACGCGACATGACGATGGCTTGTGGCAGTAAGCTGGGTGCAGACATTGGGGAACGAGCGCTTGATCTCGTCGGACTAGTCAGAGGTGGCAAGGAGGTCTGAGCAAGGCGGGGAAAGTTCTGAGTGAGTGATGGGAGTGTGATCGGGGCAAGATGCTGACGACACGGTGTGGTGGCGAGGGTGGGGCGAAAGGCAAGTCGGGGGCGAAGTACAGAGGTCGGAGCTGGGGAGAGAAGCCAGAGACGAGGCAGGCAGAGGAGCTAGACTTATAGCTTAGGTCGAATAAATCAAGCGAATTGTTGAGGTGCGCCCGAAGCAGGATTGAGAGGGCAGGTGGTGGGTAGAGGAAAGATTGCGTTGATGTGGGAACCACGGAGAGGGGTGCGTGTGTCGGCGGTAAGAGGGTGCCGCAATTTTATAGACGCCTCTACAGCCCAAGCGCAAGCACGCAAAATTAATGAAGCGACGACATCGAGTGTGAGTCGTGCTGCCGTGCAATCACGATTCCTGCCTTTGGCTGATTGGGCGTGCAGCAGAAGAGTGAAGGCAATTTCTAGCTTAAACACGTTGAAGTGAAGTCACGAGTCTGAGTGCGTGGACTGTGCGCAAGTATTTCCAATCCGACTTGTGTACCGCAATGTACGCAGACTGGAATTTTGGCTCAGCACGAGCTGGGCGCAGACTGCACATATGCCTATAGCTGATGTCAGAGTCGTGAGTCGTGAGTCGTGAAGAAAGGTGCCATCAGTCGCGAGTCCGCTGTGAATGTGCGTCGAGTCTGGCTGGTCTCGTGTCAGTCAAGCGTATGGGTAGCCATGGCGGGCAATGGAGCACGAGTGGTCCCATCGCTGTGGCTTGCGCCCGTGTGACTGCGCCATATGCTGCATCGAGCAGACTGGCACTGAGACCTAATTATGGGCGTATGCTGGTCGCGCATTGTGATTTCATTTGAGCTTCATCCAGGGCATAGCAGGAGAGGAGCACCATCACGGGAGCATTTGGTGCGAGCGAGTGCAAATTCCGAGGCCTGGGCTCGTGAATCGGCTGTTGCTCCTGCAGATGTGTCGTCCTCGGAAATGAGGGTGAGGAGTCCTTGCTTCGCGTCAGAGGCCTATAGCTCCCAATGTCGTGCGAAACGATCGAGAGACGACGGCGCCGTCCGACGAGAGTTGCGATCTGGTTTCAGAGGCGAAGTGCCTGCGTGTGAAGGACCTGCTGATAACAGATTCAACACGACGGAGCGCCGATGCCGCGCTGCTCCTTTGAAGCGTCTGCCACATATGCGACAAATTCATGAATCCACATCACGAATGAGTCAACGTGAATGAGCTGTGCCTGCATGACGCCCATGAGCTCCCGCCCGGTCAATTCCAGCGCAGCGAGTGGCAAAAGCGAGGGATGAAGTGTCCGTGCAGGCGCGATCGCGACACCGTAGCGCTTCAAGTCGCGAGTCATCTGTCGCCATTTCCTCTGTAGATTGTCGCGCCAGGTCGCCCGGCCGGACACCGCAACGGAGCGATTAGAGAGAGTGGTCCGGGATCCTGACATCTCGGCAAAGCACCAGTCGTCATCATTTGAGAGTGTGACTGCAGGCGACCAGATGTGCCTAATTGTTGCGATGCTTCTAATCGCAGGGGCGCGGATGCTGGAGGGCGAGCGCAGATTGATCCGCCGCCCTACCTTGGGTTGCAGTGTCTGTCTCCACGTGCGAAATGAAGTTGTCCTGTACAAGGCTTGGAACCTGCTTTTCATCATCTGGCTGGCAGCTGCTGTCTAGGTGCCTCAGGTGCGCGAATAATCATCCCACCGACACTCTCTTCCATCCCATTCACGACTGGCCCGTATGGAGAGGGTTACCTCCCAAGCAATGGGCCTTGTGACGATGAGCTGTTCGTCGGTCACCTCTCCCATGCAGGCACCGCGCATCATTGTTTGACGACCATACATAGGCATGCATGTGTCTCCAAGTCATTAGGACGCCTTGGGAGTAGACTGTCGAGATAACCTTCGTCCAGCAAATGCCAATCAGGATTGCGGTCTGACCGAGAGGCGAGCAACAAAGTCGAATTGATGGGGCGACCATGTTGAGTGTGTTGGGTCCGCCAATCGTGCGATGTTGGTGCATATACCACGTCCCTGAGCGTCGTCGAAACCGCTGCGGCGTCCCGCTACGAGTCCCATACACGAGGCTTTGTCTACGCAGGCGTAGGCTCTGCGCCCATTTGCCCTGATTTTCGCCTATCAACGGACTCGCAATAAAGTGTAAGTGGTTGTAGCGTAGATGCTTTCTCATGATTCCAAACCCGCCTGAGACCACTGTAGCGCAGATATATTGAAGCTCGATCGATGTGCGATGTTCACCCAAACTCCATTCCGCTCAGATCGAACCTCGAGCAAAATGACCGTCGAGTGTGTTGCGGTTGCAAGTTGTGTGCGGGCGATCTCACCTCTACATTGCAGCCTCAAGTCCTCTATACCGATCCCGACTTGATTGATCCCGACACCTCGCTCTCAAAGCGCAAGGTGTTCACCTGCATGCTCATTGGTGTCTGCGCAACTAGAGTACAATCCCGATTGACAGGTCGTTGTCTCTTATGCGGATCGGTGCGCTCGCTCAAGAAGCACAGCTTGAGTATTCCGCTTCCACAAAAAGCTTTGGGACAGGCGTTCATGTTTTGATCCATCAGTTAGTCGGACCAGTCTGCTCCGGATGAAGGCGCTTGCTATCTGCGCCCACCGTTCAACCGTGAACCGCGAATGTAAAGCGGGTGAGCAAGCGCAGACCTGCAAGGTAGAACAGACCAATCCGTGCGCACCGAGCTCGCATGCATCGAAAGCTAGCATGGCCTTTTCACTGTCTTGTGCGATCTGCGGCAGGGCGTCACCACTCTCGAAGCTCTGGCACACGTTGCGCTGATGCGAAGCGGCGGCAACCGAGGTAAGCCTGCAACGCTCATTTGTTGACTGCTCCGTATTGCAAGACTTACGTCGAGGTCTTTCACATCATCCTGAACCAGTTGCCAAGTAGCTTTAATCTTGCCTTCAGTGTTGATGTCATCGGTGCGGAAAGCGGCGTACGTCTTCGAGCTGTTGTTGGTACGACAGTGCGGATGCTTTAGAAACGGGCGGAGGCGCTACCTTTGAACACCCGAGAACCTCCAAATGGACGCACAGAGCCTCCTCAAGACTTGACAGTTCTCGCTTCAGCTGAGAGAACGCATACGAAGAGGCGTCAGGCATACATACGCCTTCGCAATCTCGATCTGCGACTGTTGCAGCAGCCGCACCTGATTCTCGTACGCAGCGCTGCTCTGTGAGCAGACGCCGAGGAACCCTGGCTCAGCCGCTACAGGCCTCGGTATCTCGCGATCGAGGCCAGCAGAGCAGGCATCCACGACATACCTTCTTAGCTTGCGCATAGATGGCAGCGCGACGTTTCTTAGCACTTTCCGCTGCCAATTCTGAAAGAGCGGGTAACACCTCATTAGGGCGTGCTAGCGTGCTAGCGTCTCTGGCTCGACTCTTTGCCCTCTTCCTCCGCCATTTCCGGACGAACCGCTCATCTGACCCATCATACCACCAGAATCGAACCTGCAACGAAGGTTCACAAGGCTCAATACAGAAGATCGCATACATGCATTCATGCAGTCCCCACTCACTCAATTTGCGAGGCCGGATCGGCGGCGACGGCCCCACGTTTGGGTGCCATGACGAGACACGCGCGCTGGTTGTTGCCTATACAGCTCCTGAAAGGCGATGTGCGACCAGAATTGACTACCTTTCCCGATACGAGTAGCGATGTATGAGAGACTTGCCCGATGCAAATCAAGAATGTGAATGCGTCGATGGCCAGTCGATTGCTCAGTGCACCCACGACTGTGGAGGAGGGGATGGACGCGCTTCCTGAAGGGCCTAGGCAGCTGTGGTTGAGGTCCGCGCGCAAGCGGAGCTCACGCATGGACGCGCTACAGCGCGCCGTCGCATGGGACGACGACACACGACGAGCTTGCACGCGTACGATCGTAATCGCGAGCGACACACGACGTGCAACTCATCACCACTCACACAGCGCCCTCGATCAAGCCGGCAGACGAGGCTATGACGCATCGAAGCTGCACGGTCCAGCCGAGTTCCTCGTCAGAGGTAGTCGCGGCACAACTTGCAGAGCACGAGCAATAACGCCCCTATACACGCAAACACGTCGTGTACCCCCACCGCCCTTCTTCGTGGTCACTGAAACGGCTCCCCACAAGTTGCGCCTGATTCATTCACAAATGACGACCAGTCCGGTCTCTCGCTCTTGTGCGCATAGAATTGCCGAGCAGTGTTGCATCCCATTCGAGGACAATGGCGTGAAAATGGCACGAGAGTGGCACGTAGACCTAAGTGTGGATCATCATATGAAATGAAGCGAGCTGGGCAAGTTGATCTGTATTACAAGCGTCTTCTCCACCTATACCACAAGGGTAAGATGCCTATGAGCGCGACGAGGCTGACGGTACTAGTAGCCACAAAGCTGAGGCCAAAGCACGCTCTCCCCACCAGGCACAACTTGTCGGCTGGTAGCGAATCTTGAGTCAACACTGCTACACTATCGATTGCGGGCGTGCGTGTTCCGAGCAGCCCAGCTGTACTTTCTGCACTTCCACCTTGAGACGAGAAGAGTGCTTGCACAAGCACACTATGGGCCATCAAGCAAGCGTCTCCAAAGCTCGGCTTCGCAAGACCTGCAGTGAAGGCTCTTGCCGCACCCAGCTTTATCGCCTCTGCACCAAAGCTGTGCAACGCTGTATTCGCCTGATTCTGAGTGCGTTGGGCGACACTGTCGCTGACTTGAGCAAAGAGGATGCTAAAGCCGAGACTGCCAGCCGCAGCAGCGTACGTCATGCTTCCCCAATTCCTTCCAAAATGCTGTTGTCCCCACGCGATTAGGATGACGGAAGGTATGAGGGTGAAGAGCATCCCGTAGCCGGCTCCGACGGCCGAGCACAGTGCTGAGAGACCGGCGATGGAGTCGAGAGCGCTGGCGGCATAGACGAAGGAGAGCAGCAGGATGCTTTGACCCGCCATTAACATAGTGACTCGAGAGATTCGAATTTGATATAGGCGGTACAGGGCACGTCTGATCGGCGACTGGGCCCTTATAACTTGAGCGGTGCTCGATACGGCTGGACGAGTAGGATCTAAGGCGTCCGAGGCCAGACCTGCAAGCAAGCGAGATATTGTGTTGGTGGTGGCTGATGGAGGGCGAAGTCTGTTAGCATGCAGTCCTCGCCAGATTCGCCGCCAACAGTCGGCATCATCGGACGAAAAGATTAGCCAAAACACTCACCCAGCACACCAACGAGTCTTGTGCGCACTTTGAGCTCTTCTTTGCCGATCTGGGAAGCATCGGTGGCGTGCACCGCCAAGAGGCTAACCACCATGCTTCCTACGCTGGACATGACCATCTCTGCACCTCCAGCCGCTGCGAAGAGCAGCAAAGTAAGGCTCCAAAACGCTGGCGAACGCAAGTACGCGCGAAAGGATGGCGACGACGATACTAGAGGAAGAGATTCAGGCGTCACTGGAGCATTGCAGTCGCTTTCAACATCGCCTCGCAGTAGTGGGGTGGCTTCCGACGGTTGCTCGGGCACTGGCAGACTCGTCGGAGGCGCAATGCCTGCTGGCACCGTTTCCGAGCCGGGCAAAGGGTGACCCGTCTGATGACTACTTTGCTGTGAAGCACTGCCTCTCTCTACGGCTTGACGCGCTTCCTCCTCCTTTTGCTGTGAGACCAGGCTGCGGTGTCTCCCGAATGCGAAGGCTCCGAACACGTTGACTACCGCCAGCAGGGCTCCCAAGAAGCCGAGAAAGCTAGGCGCGGACAGATCGCCGGTTGAAGCATCTTTGAATACTGGCAGATCCGCCAATTGGGTAAGAAAGAGAGAAGAGAGGCTGAAGAGGGTGCTGGGTATGGAGAGAGCCAAGGAAGGATGCGAAGGGAAATAGTGCGTCGCAGCTCGCAGGGATGCAAAGAAGCTGCAGCATCGAGAGAGCATCGTAGCAAAAGCACGTGTGAGCTATACTTCGTTGTCACTTCAAAAGGCAATGCTACCACCTCCGCTGTGACCCAAGTAACACCACTCACCTGGCAGCAACGCCGGCGCCCACAAGCAAAAAGTAGCCCATCATCAGTCCCGCAGCCTGAGCCGCCTTTGTCTCGTCTCTTGCCAGAGCGGACTGCAAGATGGCAGCCCCTTCCGTCGCATTCATTCTGGCTCTAAGCGCTTCGGCATCCGCGCCGGCCATGAGAGCATATCCTGCGCCGAACAACAGAGCAGCAGAGATGCAAAGAGGCCTAGGACCCCTGGCATCCGCCAAGGCGCCCCAAGGTCCCGCCGTGATGTACTCCCCAAGGACCGCGCCGGCCCATATCGCGTTTGTCTGGGTCAAAGAAAGACCCAGGTCGCGTGTGAGATTGGGAGCGAAAAGCGGGAAGCAGCTGTAGAGCGACGGTCAAGAAGAGGTGTATGTCAGCTCAGCACTACGGAAGCCGTCACAGACGTATGCATACGCAAAAGCTCACTCACAAGATACTGCCAGCAGTGACGGAGCAGGCACCGATGGCGCTAGCGGCCAGGATGGTTTGCCGCCTGCTCCTCCTCCGGCCTGCCTCTACGTCTGACATGGGCGATGCGATCGACGGCGTCTCGTCTACCTATAGGCGCTGTGGTGCACTGTTGTGTGATTCCAGCAGCTGAGTTCCTGATGAGGGGTAGGAATTGAATGCCAAATAGTGGCGCGTGTATTGGTGCGTGCTGCTTTCCAAGTGTGCTCTTCTGATCTGTGTTTGGTGCAGAGCGTCGTCTAATGTTTGTAGGAGATAAGTGAGGGCAAAGACGTGGAGATGTAGAAATAGCATGTGATGCCTTGTCGCCTGTACAAAGAATGGCAAGCCTCGTATTGCCCCAAAGCAAGGGCTTTGATTGTAACGAGTGAGTCTAGGGATGATGAGCGTGACGGCCGCGGTGTTTGTCGAGTCAGGCTCACCTGCATGATGGCCATCGTCAGGAGGTGTGGCGTGCAGCGAGCCTCCACACGGCTAATCAACGATGGGATGGCGCGCGCCTTGGATTCGACTCACGACTGTGACCCCGTGCGACTGCATGATGCGTCGCTCGCAGTGACTCATGGTGACTGTGACGCCTCGCGCGTCGACCCTCATCATCCAACACGGAGCTCCGTGTGTGCAGGCAGACCTCGTTCACCAACTTGAGACCCACCGCTCGCAATCTACGTCTTACCTCTTGTCATCACGCGCATCCATCTGCCAAAGTTCAGTCATTCTCGTCGCATACAACAAGTGGGAGCGGCGCAACTTGAGAGCAGAACTCGCTGGCAATGCTGGCGTGGTGGTCCGTTCTCGAACAGATCACACGGTCTCGCGGACCGTCATCGCGATCATCTGCTTGCAAACCACTTGAGAGAGCAGTAACATGATCCATATGCGCTGGCTGGGACAAGCACGCAACACACACAGAAGAACACACTTGTACGACCACATTTGTGGGGAAGATGGATAGAATTGGCGAAAGGAGGGCTTTGTTGTTTTCTTCATTAAAATAGGCACTCGGGGCTCGACACGGCACTTGGACTCGGAACACGTGAGGGGGGCGGTAGAGGAACTTGTTGGAGAGTCTGTGGCGAGACAAACAGAACAAATCTGGTGGATGGCGAGAGGGTGGGGAGAGGTATTCGGGAACGTGACGAGGAAGGTAAGATCGGATGGCCGTTGAAGGTCAAGGCGCCAAGTCGATTCTTCAGAACGCGGTTGGAACACAGAACAGGATTCGAGTCGGAAGGTCGTTATAGGAATCACGGGGAAATTCTTTTGTCGGGCCCCTTCGATGATCGCTCAGGTGCGTTTGGAAGAGTCGGAGAAGCTGCTCGACCAACAGACGTTCTACTGGGCTGGCACTACACCTTGCCACTCCTCCTCCACTCTTCTCTGCGTCTTCTTGTCCAGGCTTGGCTCAAGCTCTGGCATATGTGGTTGTCTCTTGATTTGCTACTTCATCCGCAGTGACCTAGTCGCAGCACTCCATTCCAATTTCACAGCACGCCTTGTGCTCAGGGGTCTCTCCTGCCCATCTCGCCATCAGAGCTTGATCGCAAGGCCAGGCGAATCCGGACTTAGTCACTGTCTCGGCTTGAGTGCTTTCGAAGGAACTCACAACCCTTGGCGCGCTCCTTAGACCCCTCACGTCTCGCTTCATGGATGGCAGCAGGGCTCCGCGTGATCGCAGCAAAACTCCTCGGTGTGGTCCCGCTCGCGCCTACCGATCGCCGTGAGAACTAAATCGAGGCGATGCGCTTCAGACACCACACAAAGCGACTGCGATGCCATTGCAGCAACTCACGGGCCACGCCGGTTTCCTCGCTCGCTTCACGCTTCGCGAGCGAGGTCTCGCCAACACCGTCTGCGAGACCGATGGTAATTCATCGACAGGGTGTGATGTCAGCATCGTCTCACGTTCGGACTTTGCATCATCAACGATACTCGCTCTCTTGCTGGACATCGGCTCCCAGCATGCGCTTCTGCAAGGAAGACCTCTTGGTGTTCTGACTTTCGTCTTTGGCAGAAGGGACGCCTGAGTCCTGTCGGCGGGCACTCGTCTTCTCCTCCTCGTCTTCGCGGTCAACGTCTCGCTTCACTGCTGGTCCCGTGGAAGATCTCAGGCGTACCACGTCATGCGCCGCGACGCGTTTCACCAGGTCGGCGATTTCGTAGAATCGACGACGAGGAGGGCAGCAACTTCCGGTTTTTTGGAAGCAGCAAGGAATGACTTCCAGTCTGGGCTCGAGCTTGTCGCGCTTTGATAGGATCAGGTCGGTCGAAGGCTTGCCATCGGTGAGCCTGCTCTCCAGCTCCGCCGTCGGCACTTGCCTCTCCGTCGTCAATTCGAGTCCACGTCGGGCATTTTTTTTGCAGCATTTGTGCATGACTGGGTAGCAGCATGGATTCGGAACCAGTCGAGGCTCTAAGGTCTCACGCCTCGTTAGATCTGTTGCAGGTGATCGATCTCCGAGCTCCTTTGCGGGATACACCAAGTCTACCGAGGGGGCGGAAAGGATCGTCTTGTGAGCTTGATCGGGCCTGCTGCAGGTGCGAACCGCTCGGCCACAACGCCGTTGCAACAGACGACCAGCGCGGAAGGCGAAAGTCGGGATACCGTCGAGGTGTATTGGTGCCAGGTGCTTACCTTTCGTCATTAGCCCGGCGAATGAACTCGTCGAGGGTCCTCGCTTTCGTGAGTCTAGCGAATCACGCTTGACCTGTCGATTCACCTCCAGTCCTTGAGGTGCGGCGGTGGACTGCCTCTTTTCCGGTCGTCCACCTCTCACCATCAGAGCTGGACACACACAAGGGGCATCAGTGGTTGGTCAGCGCGGAAACTTCCAGATCTCTCTCACCGCCATTTTGGGGTTCTTTGAGCTGCACATCACGGCGCTCTGGCATCTTATTGAACTTAGGAAGAGGAGGCGGAAATTCGTAACACTCATCAGTCTGCTCGTTGCAGCATATGCTGTACGGTTCCGGAGTCTCGGCTCTTCTCACTTCGCGTGTTTGAGCTGTTGCGACTGCCATGAAATTCTGTGGAGGGGGGGGCTCTTCGCCGCAGCAGGGACCGACTCCATTCTTGCAACACGAAACCAGCTCTTCCGGAGTATTACTTCGTTTGGCAACTAAGGCTCCCGATGTCTCGGCTCTTCTCACTTCGCGTGCTTGAGTTGTTGCGACTGCCATGAAATTCTTTGGAGGGAAGGGCTCATCGCAGCAGGGACCGACTCCATTGTTGCAACACGGCGTGAGCGGAATGAGCTCTTCCGGAGTTTTACTTCGTTTGGCAACTAAGACTCCCGATGTCTCGGCTCTTCTCACTTCGCGTGTTTGAATTGTTGCGACTGCCATGAAGTTCTTTGGAGGGAAGGGCTCATCGCAGCAGGGACCGATTCCATCCTTGCAACACGCAATGAGCTCTTCCGGAGTTTTACTTCGTTTGGCAACTAAGACTCCCGATGTCTCGCGGCTTTGCAGGGTGGCCAAAGTCTGGCGGCGACGGGGAGGCAGGGCGCAGCAAGGTAGTCGGATTGGCTGGCAGCAATTAGTCTCGAATTGTCTAGTCTTGAGATCTCTCTGTCTCACGCTTGGCGTCTCGGAGCGACGTTCTGCGGCAGAGTGGAAGATTAGTACGAGCACTCTGTTTATTCATATTTGCCTAGTGTGGAACACACCTTCCTCCCCCTTGGACGGCTCCGTTGCGATGGCCCTTTGCAAAAGTGGCATTGAGCTTTGTCCGTGTGCAACAGGAATCAGATCTCGCTTGAGAGGGACGTACTCGCAGCATTCGACACTGTTATCGTTGCAACATTCCGACTTGTCGATCTGGGCTCGTTTACTCAGTAGCCCCTCTTCGAATCCGCCGATACCGGGCAGACCAAATGGTTTTAGAGAGGAAAACATCAGCTGCGAAGCTCGCTGCAAGTACAGATATGCTTGCTAGTCACAAGGATCTTGCAACTCTCAGGCAGCGCAAAGTGCGACTCGCCAGACATCGACGGCTCGAATGGACCAGAAGCTTGACTCACCGGAGTCGGGGCTACTCAGCACGAATGATGATGTAGCCACAAAGGTGATCGCAAGAGCGACCAGACCACGCGTAGTGCGCATGGCGGCGATGAAGCAGATGTGATTGGCAAGGCGCGATACAGGGTAGAGTCTTGTCGAATTGGGTTTTCTCGTGTGAGTGTATAAAGGGTCTGGGAGGGCAAAGAACCGACAAATATGGGCTTTTTATAGACGAAAATATTGCCTCTAGCGAGTATTACTACTAAGCGAGATGGCAGACACGAGGAGTCGCTCATGCACCGCATGTAACGCACTCACCCGACCGGAGGTCCTCTCCGACCTTCGCGAGAATGGCGAGATCGTGAGACAGGAAGGTAAGTTAGTTGTCCCCTCTGACACTTTTCGCGCCCGTAGTGGCTTGCTTGCACCCGGAATAGTCTTTCGACTCCTTGCAAGCTACCCTCATGCGTTCTGGAGGATTGTCACTTGGACGTCGTGATGTGCGCGATGCTTGCCCTGCACCCTCGAAGGACGTGCTCGTTGCAGACTTTCCAATGTCATCACTCTCCCTCTCACAACTCCCTACCTCGTGCTCAGGCGTTGGTGTTGCCACTTAGGGCTTATCGCGGTAAAGAGATCAGTAGTGAGTGGCTGATCGACGACCCTCGCAGTCTCTCTCGCTCCTCCCCCGTTAACTACGCACGTCGATCCTGACTGACTACCGCGAATGCCATAATGGACCTTGACGCTGTATGGCGGACGCGAGCCTTCCTTTTCGGACGGAAGAAATCGTCCTAAGAGGCCTCTTCTTTCCTCGTCGCATGCCTTCTTGCTCTGAGAATGAGAACAAGCAACACATCTGGAGATGCACCAGCTCAGTCTCGTCGGACGTGGACGAGTGCTGCCCCGAGACTTCCGGATAACAGCGACTCAGGACCAAGTGTCTAAAAAGCTCGCCAGAGCCAGAATTGGTTCCACAAATCACTCCTTTAATAGTGTCATTTGAGCGAGCATTGGCATTGCGTAGTAGAATGCGCGCTCTAGATAGCAGGATTTGACGTCGCTCATCAAGCGTCCTCTTCAAACCAGTAGACCTGCTCAAACGCAGCGACTGGACTGATGCATCACGACCTCTTAGGTTCAGCCTGCAGCTGAGTACACTCAGCGCTGTGATAGAATCGAGGTAAGTGATCGAGAGGCATGATCAAGAAAGTCGTCAAGTAGCTGCTCGCAACTCACTTTATATGGCATTGTCGACATTTCATGAGCCACTTGGCAGCAGATTCCGTTGTTGATAGTGCACAAACACCATCGCTTGCTCCATTTGATGTTTCGCTCCTCTAGGTCTTGGCCAGCGGACGGCAAGACTTCTCGGGTGCCGATCGCTGTCGGTTGATCAGAGTGGAGGAGCAGAGGCAAGTAATTGGACGGTGGTGTGGAGTCAAATTTGACGCAACTCGTGACCGGGCAGATGGTTGCCGTGTCTCAACTCACCATGAGCACACGCCAGCAGACTCATCAGCATGAGCACGAAGGCTGCAACTTGGAGCGGGAGTATGAGCATTGTGATGGCTCTTGATGAGTGGTGAGGAGGAGTTGCTGATTGCAGGGCTAAGGATGGAATAAGAGTGTTTATCGGCGCCTCGTGACTTCACAGTGTGAGGAATTCAACAGATCGGACTGGGCGAAGTCATCAGCGCCACTAAAGCGCTCTTGATGCGAGCAACGAACCTTCTCCTCTGCTGTTGATTGGAGAAGCGCCTAAGTATGTCCTCCAAGCTCCGCTGATCTGATTGCGCTGACGCAGCCAAATTGGTGGTTCCGAGCCTGATATCGTTGCTCGCAGATAGACTGTCCCGAAAGGTCAATTTGGCATATTGTAACCTCGCGATGGCACGCCAGTGCTCAGAATCTCGACAATCCTCAGTCTGAAATCCCCTGAAACCATTATGCTGATCTTCGCTCCGCAGCAAAGTAAATGGAAGCGCAGAGGGATGCCTGTGCGGTCTGGACAGGCACGAACGGCACTTGCGCACGCGCGATACGACGTGGACTTTTCTGCTTCCATGTCAGCGCAGACTACTCGTTCCGGTCGCAACTCAGAAATCCGCTTTGTTCGACAAGAGTTACCAAAGTTGCAACTTTGAGCACACCTGCTGAAGTATCCCGGTCGGGACTGCGGCGAGCACCTCGACGCAACATCGTGGACCGCCTTGAATGAAAAGGACGCCCAATCCACGTCATTAATATGAAAAGGAGTCGTTTGATTGATACGAGCGGGAGCAGATCCGGATGGCGAGTGTGAGAGTCAAGGCGGCGTCCTCGATCTACCACGTCCTGATTGGTACCAATCTTTTCCTGTCTTCAATATGCTGCACTCTATAGCCTAAAGTCAACATTTGAAAATTTTCTCATCATCAAAAAGGTGACGAATCGGGCTCGAGCGATCGAGCATTCAAATTCAGAACCAAGGTTGACAGTGGTTCGAAGTATCGGATGCGCAGAGCATCGTCGGAATGCTGCACGTCAGGCACTTCACATGGCTGCGCTCAGCAGGCACAAGCGCCTGTGCCCTTGTGGTCTGCGCAACTTCGCTGTGGTGTGGTAACAACGTCGTCCGCGCCAGTTATACTTGCTAGGTGCCCCTTTCAGGAGGCAATGTATGGAGAGGCGTTGTCATTAGGCAGGCCCCACAGTCAACTTACGCACTGCTGCCTTAGAGGGTTCTTCTATGTGTGCGTCGCCACGCGCCGCTGCATTCGCAGCATACGTGTGATGTGTCATGATGGATATGGCGGCGTGAAAGACTTGAAGTCATTGAGTTGCAGTCCAAGAGTCTGAGTGCAGCAGCAGCATTGCTGCGTGCGGGTCTGCGGGACGTTGACGAGTCGAACTTGCCACACGCGAGTCATCACTTGCTCGTGACTTTGCAGAAGCGTGCACTCAGTCAGAGTGAGCATGCCGGTACTCACTCGCTCACTCTCTGATGCATCCATGCGGTCTAACGGGGGACTCTACCTGGACGTGAGTCAAGGTAGGTCGGGCTACGTCCCTGGTAACAGTAGTGCGTCATCAAATTTGAGTCAAGGTAGTCAATAGCCACAAAGGTTCAACTCAATCATCGCGATTGGATGGCACAAATTAGGCGGCAAGGCTGCTGAAGCGATTACGAAGCTGTGATTCAGAGGGTGCGACATAGCAACGCAATATGTGACGAAGAGTGAGTCCCTGTCGGAATGTGCGACCGTCAGCAAATGTCATGAGATGGCGTTCCGCAATTGTGCCCGCCAATTCCAGCTCAATCGTCTTCGTTTCACGTCCGACGAGAGCACTCTACTCTAGCAAGGTTGCCTGATTGGCGTCGTCTGCCATGCCCTCATTGCGAAAGCTGACGGTGGCATGTCAATGTCGTCTAGGTCGCAATGGAGAGCAGATCAAGTCCTTGAGACTCAAGCGATGTGAAGATGCGGTCGACTATGGGTCCTAGCTGGCTTATATAAGAGCAGCTTCGGCGCCTCTTCAAGTATTCTTCCCCTCAAGCTTACCAAGAACGAAGCCCACAGACCCAACAAGACTTGAAAACAGCTAACGTCGCTCTCACAATGCATAACTTTCGCCTTCTCACCTTTGTATGCTTGGCAATCGTTTTGGTGCCGCTAAAATCAAAGGCCAACGCCGACTCGGGTGAGTCACGAGTGCGTACTGATTGTCGGCAGTACCACCTCTGAGCACCAAATATGTTGCATGACCATCTGCATTCCAACGACGCTTTTCAAGTGAGTTTAGCGAGCAGATCTGCTACACAGCCTCGTCCACGTACTGACAGCGCGTTTCGCCCTAGTTTGGCACCCGTAGCTCAACTTCTTCACGCCAGGTCTCACAATCCGGTAAGGGCAGTGTGCTTTGGAGCATTTAAGTGCGCAATGTTGATCCGAACTTTGCTCTTGCAGTCGCGCTCGTGGGTCAGCATGGCCCTCACCCGACGGGGCCTGTACAAGCGTTCGCCTGAATGCTGCGAGAATGACCTAGACCCTTGTTGTCCCATCCGATGCGGACCAGGCCTGGTGCGTGACTCATGAGAGAGTGTGGCCTTAGGTGGGCTTGTGCAGGCGCAGTCGGAAGGGAACCCTCGTCAAGTCCGCTGACAAAAAACCTGTGCTTCGTAGTTTTGCGCTCGCGATGACCAGTGAATGGCAGGGTCGCGGTGGCCCCAAATGTGTGGGGCCCTCCATCCGTGATTTAGAGGTGGGTAGTGTAAAGTTAGCACGTCGAGAAGCACCAAGCTGAAACGATCGTCAGCTTATAAATGCCGAAGACACCTCTGCAAAACACGCAATTTTGGGAGACTGAAAGGAGGCGGCGCGAGGCAATCCGGTCAGTCATTCGAAGGGACTAAAGATCTTCGTGGAGATCATCGGATGATGTACTGCCACATAAAGACATTTTCGAATCGAATGACGTCTTGCACCTCAAGACCCGTCTTGCTCTCAAGTCGAATGCGTCGGTCGGTCCTTGTCTCTTTCTGCCGAGCTATCAGTCTTGTTGCGGGCTACCGTGAAGGGCCAGGAGCTTTCGAAAGCCTTCTGGAAGTCGCATGGACTGCAGATTGTAGGCAATGAAGAGACTGATTGTATTCTTGATGAATGAGGCGGCGTGACCACGGGAGTCGTTCGCAAATCGTCCGCCGAGCGGTATATTTGCAAGCAATTGACAGGCATACTCACGCTGGTTGACTCTGGGCTGCTCGTGATGCCTGTGCGCCTCGATGGATTGATCAGACCGCATACCGTAATTGATGACTTGAAAATGCATGAGGATACTGCAATCGATGCGGGCCGCCGCTAAGCCAACAGCAAGGAGCAGAAACGCAGACCGCCAAGTCTCGCTTTGTAGCGAGCTTCAGGAGGTACTGCTCGCCTTAATTGCCATCGCAGGGCGTTTGGGCTCTTAATTGACGAATCGTTCTCCGTGGCCAATGCCACGATAGCCGTACGTGCCAAGCTTCAAGTCAAGCCAAGATTGAAATTCGGCGTGCCGCCAGTGTGTCCCGGCACGTCGATTGGGCCATGGGGCCCCGTTTGAAGGGGAAATTTGATGTATCTTGGCGCAATGACATATCAACGGAGCATACGAGAGAAGGCATCTAAGTCGGACTCCAGATTGACCTCTTGGTCCTGGCCCTTGTGTGCGCTCAAGGGATGACTGGTCTCTTCGATTGTACGACAATAAGGTGCTCCGGTGCGGCGCCGCAATTTGACTCGTCTCGGATGATTGATTTGGGAGCTACGAAAGGAGCGTTTGGGTACTCATGCGTCTCTTGTTTCCGTGTCGTATATGAAGCCGTGCTCACTCGGTGACTCGGTGAATCTCGTCTCATATCCCTCGTAACCGCTCTTCCGACCATTTTCACCTGACATTCTCACAACACCTGAAGCTTCCGATTGTGAGCAGAATGTACTTTCTGCGTCTATGCTTCTTCGCTTCCTTGGCGCTCCTTGCAGCGCTTCTAAGCGTAATTGCCAAGCCCATAGCAGGTGCGCATGTCGACCTCTCCTATGCTAGGGCTCTCATGCGTCGATACTGATTCTGTTGCCTACACCAATTTGCGGCCTCGGATTCTCTCGTCGTGAGTTGTGACTTGACAATTGTTAGGTCGCACTGATGTGACTGCTGACGTATTCACATTCTACAACTCCCCGATGACAGCGCTCAACAGGTCCACAGAAAGGTGCGACGTATGGCGCTTCTCTTCATGAGCGCGCTGGCATTCCCGCTGGATGCGAATGCCCTCCTAACCCTGCCAACTCAACGTGCTGCACCGGTGATTGCTGTGGACTTGGACTTCCTGATACCCACGAGCTGCATAGTCAAGCCATCCAGATGCCCGCTGCTGAGCGCTGTACAAGCGACTAACCCTCTCAACGTTTCTCTTTTTTGCCAACAGCCACGCAGTGTCAATCTCTTCGATGCGGACAAAAACAGCTGGGAGAGGCGCGCGCCCACTGGCGGTCCCCCGGAATGTGATTGTCCTCCTAACAACCAGTCATGCTGCCATACTGACCCCCCCGGTCCTCACTTCGTGCGTAGGCAAGCCCTTAATTTGCTCTCTGAGTGCTGAGCAAGCGACTGACCCTCTCCGCCTTTTGCCATTAGCCACGCAGTGTGAATCTCTTCGATGCCGACAAGAACAGCTTGAATGAGCGCGCGCCCAGTGCTGCGGCCGACGTTGAGATGATCTGGAGCCCCGTTGCCAACAGGATGGTGAAGCGCGACAGCTGCTGCACCGACGGCACGCAGCCCTGCTGCTTGGGTTGCGGCGGTGAAGGCTCGAGAGAGTGCTAAGATCGTCGGCGCGAGGACGTTCTGCTGCAACAGGGTGGTGAAGGATCGAAGAAGGAAGCGGATGCACGTATATGCACGACGTTGTGTTGTTGTGCCAAAATAACCCGAATCGCGTGCGGCTGTTTGCAGTTGGCATGGAGTGGACCACATCGGTCTGATCCTGCGTCAGTCGCTCATCAACCCTGACATCAACTACTAGCAGCCAAACGGCTCGGAACTTCGTATAAATCATTCTATCATTCATATTGGTGTGCAGCAAAGCGACGTGAGCGCCGTGTGAATCGTGAGGGTGACGTGGCGGAAATGCAGACGATGCGTGGCCGTAGGCAAGAAGAGCGCGAGCGATGACTCGTGAAAAGCCAGCAGTTGAGCTGTATGGTGGCTCTAACGAGTACCAGCAGCATGTATCTGCCGCCTTGCTCGTGGAAGGTCGTTAGCGGGATGTTGCGGAAAAGGGATATCGGGAAAATTTTGGCTACAAATCAGAATGCGAGGATGGATAGATGGGTTCTGACTGGAACGGAAGATAGATCTCGATACTGTATGTGTGTTGTATCGACGGGCGATTGGTCTAGGCCGATGTCGTCTAGCAGAGGTTGGGCGATGGGAAACCAGTAAGTTGTCTTTCAAAGTAGGTCCCAACATGGTCTCCGATGTTGTAGGTTCTCGGGTCGACGGAGTTGGAGCACCTTGAATTTTCTCTTCCTGGGCAGCTAAGGGCTTCGTTCTCGTTGGCTGGGTTGATCCACACCTCTCCAGTAGGGTGCTCGTAAGAAAGCTGCCGGAATGGGATGTGAGGTACGGGATCTTGACCATTGACCAGGTAGTGGAAGGTGCCGTTGTGAAGCCTGTCGATGCTGTCCGCAAATTTGCTGTTTCCCACGCGTGGCAATCCCAGTACGGTGGTCTGCAACGGTACATCTGGAAGATTGCATCGCAGATACGCGCTGTCCAGCGTGGCTAGGGCAGCACCGAGCGAGTGTCCGGTGACCAGAAGCGTAGCGCCAGGATGCGTCGTCAGCTGCTCCTTGACTGCTGCCAAGATCGGGTCAGCAGTCTCTGCCCAGGCCTTTTGAAAGCCGATGTGCATCGCGGAGCCAGGATCGACACAGCCGTTCAGCCTGCGGTCTGGCAGTGTGGGTAGATATTGCGCATCGATGTATACGGAATCTGCGGATGTGGGGCTGCGAACGGAGCATGAGCGAAAAAGTCGAACACAGTCAGCAAGGGATTGGGTGGCCGGCACATCGCTAGTCCATTAGGCCGGGCACTGTAAACTTACTTGGTACCCTGGTGGGAAACGACGACTTTGTTGGTCAGCTCGTCGTAAGCCACGAAGGTGATCGGTAGCTTTGCGTTGTCGCCGGCAACGTAGATGACCCGACCTCTCGAAAAGAGTAGACGTTGCAGAGAGGGCTGGCAATATGCGCCCTGCGCATACCGGACTGCCAGACGGAACGGAGTGCCATCGATGGTGCTTGGCTGGTCGGTTGACTGTCGTTCGGAGATGGATTGCACTGGCACCGCGTGCATGCTGGGCAGCATGACAGCGGCCAGGCCGAGGACGATGTTGAAGGCGCGCATGGTGTCCCGTGGCTGTAGGGTTGGACAAAGGAAGTGCGAGAGGAGGGAGGGCGGATGTCAATGGCGTGAGGGATTTGTGAGCATGGCAAAGAGCTCAGCGAGGGCGCGAAACATGGCGATATTTGTACTTCTGCTGGCCCAGGCTACTACCGCATGTCTGCAGCTGCTGATATACCGTCGTGCATTCGGGAAGAAGTACAGTCGTAGGTGTGGAGCTGGCTTGTGGTGTTTGCCTGTCGTCCAATCGAGCTACTCCAAGGGCCAGCACTTCGCTCTCCGATGCTCACCTGCGACGGGGGCTTGTGCTGCGCCGCTCGTGAAGAATGAGGATCGGTGATGCTCTTAGCGTGATTGACCGGCTGACTCGGACGCCGGATTTTGCGCTTGCAAAACATCCGTTGCAACACCTAATTCACGATTGAACTCTAGATTGCAGGCATAATTGAGAGGGCACTGTGCCGTGATGCGACGAGGGGCTCGACGAGTCTGTCGAGGCCGAAGCGCGCGCTGGCCGAGGCCACTTCGAATCGAGACCGTAGCGTCGAGCCCAATGCACCCGCGTCATTACTTGGCTACGTTGCGTCAGACATTCATGCATCGACGAGAGAAGCTGCTCATATTTTCGAAGAGATTGTCATCAAGGGTGCATGCAGCTACAGAATAGCCGGGTGCGCTGGCCCAAATCTTCGATGGTGGGCAGACTTTCCAAAGTCGTATCTTGCATGTGCGTCCATGAGGGGCATAAATTGCTCCAATTGCAGCGTCGTCGCTCGACTTTTGTGCTACTTGCTGCACCTCTGCGCTGCAAGGTGGATCTGCTGATTCGTGATTGAATGGCACTCAAGACTTCAGAATCACGAATGCGTTGGATGATAAGGACGAACCCCGGCTCCAACTGGTCGAGAGTGACACATGAGCTGCTAAGAGCGTAAATTTGCAAAATGTCAGCAATTAGTCCCGTGATGCCAGGTATACCACTGTGACTGTAGCTGCATGCACCAGCAGCAAGCAGCGCTTAGCGCGCTTTTGAAACCTGCGTCCGAGCGCTCTCCACCATTCTACAAACGCTCGCTAATCACGAATGATGCGCCTGGTCTTAGCATTTTCTCAAGCTATGGCGCGGCACAACCAACCATTTCGGCCGCTTGCGTGAGCTCCAGTACAGTGTACATACATATATGTTTTTGAAGAGTCAGAGCACAGAGCAGCGGTATGTGATATCGGCATCAAGTTTTTGACCCATGCACTTACCCACAAATGCCTCGGCCAGCTCTTGCGTCGCAGACCATCAATGCAAGGCAAGCCGTGCTGCGCATGTGTGGGGACGTTTGTTTGTTTGCTATGCTGTCTGACCCAGCGCACTCAAGCATCGCCGTACCATACCGCGGATGAAAATGTGGGCATGCGACCATGACCGGCATCATGCATCACACGGCTTCTACAGAAGGTGCTCTGCTCGTCTGGCAGGCAGTCACGGTAGCACCGGTAATCGTGAAGGGCTCTCCTCCTGCTGCCTGCGATGCGAAGCGAAGCGGATTCTTGGCAAAGGGCTTTCTGTGTCGATGATAAGGGAAAGCGCGGTTATGATGGTCATCGCCCTTGCCAGGGAGCGAAAGTCCTTTGTACACCACACGCGGCGCCTGCTTTAGTCAGGAACTCCACAGCTTCGCGACTCGCTTCAGAATTCATGGTCCGGTAGCGAGTGGTGCGTGAAAGGAACTACGATTTGCAATGTGAAGGTCATGCTGTCCGATGCATTCGTCCTGTAGCTGCCACGATTTGGAGCACTTCCGGCGCTGAGCTGGCGAGCGCGCTTATTTATGCATGCGCGGCCGGTGAATTTCCTGGGTCGTCGCGGGGCGGAGCTGATTTGAGCGGTTGCAGGGCGACGCTGGGTAATTCGTGATGTGGGCGGGGAGATTTGCTTCCGTAACCACACCTAACTAGCTCGAGAGCTGGTGATGCTGCGGGCGCTCCACAAATCACGTACCCGCTAGTCCCCTTGCTTTTCTGCGTCCAGAGAAGTTGGTCGCTACGACGTTGCCTCTGATGTGAGCCACAGTTTGCGCTCACCAAGCAAGCCGGAGGTATCGTCCGAGATCCACGGATTGACTTGCTGCAACTTGCTCCAGTATCAGTCTTGAGTGCTGGTGTGGACGATAGCATCGAAGAGCGACTTGGCCTTAGCGCTCCTCACTTACGACATTCACGTGACTGCGCCGATCAGCATGCCATGACTTGAGCCTGAGCGCTGTATCACATTTATATGCGCACTCACGACTTGGTCAATGACGGGCGATCATTCGCACTCGCTCGTTCCTTGGCATCAACCATGTCGCTCTCGCATCAATCCTCTTTCAATCGCAGAGAGCGGCTAGCTAGAGGACCTTGACAAGGCGAGCTACATTACCAACGTCACAATCGTGGATGGTGCGAGTTGCGTTGAAGGGGCCGTCAGCTCTGGAGCTGTCATGCATGCCCCGTCGAATCCTGAAGAGTGTGACATTCCGACCGCGGACATAATTTCGAATCGAAACGCCACTGCCTCTAGCGTGCTGCTCGAGTCTCGTTGTTCGTAAATGTGAATTGGCTTACGAAGTATCAAGGATTTTATTTGGTGATGCCGTCGAGCAGTGATGAGTCCTGAGTCTGCTCAGCCAATCGTACCCGTCGCAGGAGGTTTGAAGGGCTCTAGACTTGCTCTCGTGACCCACAGGATACCTTCTGTCCACCTGGGATTCGGCAGGTCAAGTCGTCAGCACGTCGTCACTCTAGACTTGACTTGAGCTGGTCACCTCGAAGCCAAAATTGAACGCCCGGACTTGCGCGCCTTCCGAGCTTTATATACGACTCCCCGATGTGGTATGCTAACTCGCCAATGGATCTGCGAAGTTTGCCAAACAATATCATCTTATCCTGTGTGATTTATATCAAATTAGCCATCCTATATCCTATTATCCGACCATGCTCGGGTTCGATCCCCTGGCTGGTCACTCCGATCTCTTTTGGCGTGACTCATGGTGTTGCCTGTCGGCGGACTTTTTGGCCCCGCTCGCGTGCGCATTCGTCATTTGAAGTCACGTGATTCTTCCTTCACGTATTCTTGATTCTTGATTCAAATTTGGCCTGTGTTCGCGTGGTGTGGGACTCGGCCGAGAATCTCTGTCAGCCAAAACATCATGCGTGAGAGAGATGACGAGGGCCGGGCGCTTTGCCCAGATCGGCTGCCGCGTGTGTGCACGCAGTTAGTTGTGCCCACCATCTGCTCTCGGCCCCGCCTTGACGATCAGTGCCCCGTCATCTAGACAGATCCTGCCACGCTACCCGGTGCCGCCCGCTCCTGGCCTGAGGGACAAGCTTGTTACAGGGCATAAAACACCGCTAACCTTGAGCTGCTGTGTAGGCTCATCATCGAGGGTGACGCCACGCCACCTGTCATTCTCATCTAAACGTCCCCAGCAATTGTCAGTGCGCCGTAGTCTACCATCAGCTTCTTTGTCCCCAAACCAAAAAGCGCGGGAATGAAGCTAGAAGGAGGTCCTGGGCCGCGTCGTGGTAGCAGAGCGAGAAAGCCAACAAGCAAAGCTGTAGATGAGGTGCCCGTTCTACTGCATGAGGAACCTGTTAGTAAGAGGAGCAAGAGAGCCACTCCGTCGCGAACTTCGCGCGTGACGCCAACACAGCAGGTCCGAGAAGCATCGTCCGAGCCAGAAGAGGGAGCAGAGGTATACTGTACATGTAGGGAGGGAGACGATGGACAGCCCATGGTGTGGTGCTCAGAGTGTGAAGATTGGTGAGTGAGCTTCTGTCCAGGCTACCGTCCCCGTCGCGCCCCTGAGGCAGCTTTGCTGCTGCATACGTGCTGCTCGGGGTGTGATGGTAGCACGTAGTCGCGAGAATCGGGAGATGTCACTAAACAAACCCTGGTCTCCCCCACCATAGGTTTCATTTCGCATGCATTGGGTTATCGGAGGAGGCTGCACAAGCTCTGTCATCGTATGTTTGTGAGGCATGCTCAGCTAGGACTGGCAAGATATCTACAGGTGAGTTTAGCGCTCCAGCAAATTGGTGCGATGTCACGGATCATGTTTGGAGCTCCTTTCGTTTGCTTGGACATGCTCCACGCGCCCCCCCCCTGTGAATTGCACTGGTACCCTGCGCTGGAATACATCCATGTCAGCGACGGCTTCATCGCATGCTCTCGCATGCTTGAGCTGCTTCATACTCTTGTCGTATCTGCATGGTAGTCATGACTTCGTTCCGTTACCGGCTGTGATGAGCCGACTTGCACCGTACGCTACCACCTCACTCGATTGAGACCCATGGTGCTGTGAATGTTCGCATCCTGGCGTCACAACACATGTGGTCTGCTTCTGTATAGTCGCCAGTCGAGTGGTGATGGAGGGCTGGTCGTGTTCAGCCAGGCATTGGCATTGCATCCACACACAAGGGAGAGAACGCTCCATAGCGACGCTCCAGCCTTCGTCTAGCACTTTGGTGCCCGGCGTTTGTATCTTCGCATACGGCCGCTTGTCATTGTCGAGGTTTGCTTCGTAACCTCGCGCATCAATGCTGACGACCACAACACCCTCAATCTTCTTGCAGGTCTGGAAGCGGACGTACCATCAGCTCCAGAGCATGAGGCCGCGCGTCATCATCATTCGCCTTCAGATGCTGCCTCGCTGGAACAGAACGAGACACCCGATTTGACTAATCCTCCCGCAATCTCTTCCAAGTATGGCAAGACCGCAGCGGCAAAGAGGAAAGCTGCAGAGCATGATTTTGAGGTACCGAGTGGTCTCAACAGCGTCACAGACAATCCTGATGTGGCGCTTGCGTCTTCTAAGCCCGAAATTGAAAGCAAGCAACCCAGTGTTGACGATGGTGCCAAATCTCCGCTCGAGCCACGGCCTTTGAAACGGGCCAAGGGTGGTGATGAGCCGACCAATGCAATGGCATCATCCAGTCTTGCTGGCAAAGCTGCGACCAAACAGATCGTACCCGCTGCGCATGCAGCGTCCAAAGCGTCAGCTCAAGGTGTCGATGCCCTTGCGTCTGTGCACCGAAGGTCCTCTGGAGCTGGCGAGAAGCGTGTTCCTTCGCCCGCGAGCGCGGCCGGCTCAGCTGCGAAACGTAAAACCTCGTCGTCTGAGCTCGAGCTTGCAAGGAAGGCACGCCAGACAGCCGTAGCCCTGCGTCAGCACGCCGTCAACCAATTCACTGCGGTTGTACAAGGCTTTTTGAACGACGCCAATGCCGCTGAGAGGGGTGTTGGCGTTCAGAACGATGAGGCTTGCAAGCAGTACAACGAAGCGGCCGCAGTCTATGCGCGGATGCTCGAGCAACACATGTGGAAGGGCAACGCAGAAATCACCACGGCGGGAAAAGAGAGAATCGCGACGGGAGGCAAGGCATACAAGGATCGTCTCCGTTTGCTACTGTTCAGCCTCAAGGACAAGGCCAATAAGGGCTTGCACGCTCGTATCAGATTAGGCGTCTTGCAGCCCGACGAACAGACGGCTGTCAGTGCTGTTGCATTGGCCGCCATGACTTCCGACGAGCTAGCCAACGATCAGACACGCGAGGAACTTGAACGTCGAAAGCGAGAAAATCTGGAGCAAAGCGTGCTGGGCAAAATGGCTGATGTGCCCCGACGCAAGTTCACGCACAAGGGAGAAGAGGATGTGGAATTTGATCAAGGAACTCGCGAGCGAGAAGCGGCCGACGATCAGCTGCGTCTGGCGGTCAAGGAGCGCAACAAGACGGAACAAGAGGCTGCCGACCACCACTCGTCCCCTCCTGGCGCTTCTAACGCGGAGGCTGCCCTTCCAAGACTGGAACACCGTTCAATATCCGAAACGGCTTTGAGCACCGCGCACGCACTCCAGTCACCCTCGATTCCTCATTCCCAGCAAGTGCAAGAGAGGGTGTCTGCTTCACCTGGTACTCATCGAAGCAGCGCCAATTCTGAGCCTCCCCTCCCTCTCCCAGCTCGAGACTCCCCTCTGAAGGCAAGCTTCGATTTTGGCGATTTGTGGACAGGCAATGACAAAGCTGGTGAAGACACGACGAATGCGGAGGAAGAGCAGCAAGATGACACGGGCGATGGAAAGGAAAAGATGGAAAAAGGAATTACTGTTGAAGATGACAAGGGCTCAAATCACGGCGACGCAGACGACTTTATCGATTCATTCTTGGGAAAGCGAGCAGATACACCGGAACACCAGGTGGATAACGGAGATCCAAATGTGGAAGCTCTTTTACCAAAGCAGCATCAAGAAGCAGCACAATCACGCTCCGTCTGGCAAGGCGCGATCAGCATGCCCGAAGTCGGCCTGTGCAGTGGCTCAGCTCATCAAGTAGCAGGACCTTCGCTTGGCGATGACTTGAGCGTCTGGCAGCTCTTTTTGCCATCGGTGCACAGCTTTTTGGAAGGTCGTCTGCCTGCAAAAGTGGCGGCAAATTATCTGCTCGAAAGCCACAGGGCACCACGCAACGAGCTGGTAGTGCTTCAATTCGAGCCGAAACTCGTCCCCGATGGATTGGCTGCAGCTGCAGCTGCCGTCAAGATGGCTGCTCCACAGACGGAAGAGGTCAATGCAGCTGCGTTCTCCAACTTTGCTGGGTGGTTCCAAGGCCGGTCTCGTTACGGTGTCTTGGCACCCGCGCGAAGCGCTCGCGGGCGGATCATCAAAGATTTCTACGTGGCGCCGCTGCCAGCCCATGCCGAGCTGCCAGAATGGCTGACAGAGTCGGGCGCGCCTATCGACGAGGCGCCGAGAGAGAAGGACCTCATACTACTGGTTGCCGTCATTTTCAAAGACACCATCGGTTCCGTTGATGGACGAAGTGCTGCCTTGAGAGACGTCAACAAAGGTCATTCTTCACCTTACAGCCGTATCCCGCCCGTAAGAAAGGACGGAGCTAGTAGCCCACGTGGGTTGCATAGCAATAGTCAGAGCCGCGCTGCTGCCATTACGCCCAAAGCTCATTCCCCACAGCAGGCTTCGAGTTCCGCGCAGCCTCACGCAGCCAGCAGCGTCGCAGCATTCCCCGGCGGTCCGACAGCACTACAGGATCTGCTCAAAGCGGTGGGAGGTGGTGCGCTCGCAGCTTCTGCACCTGATCGGCCGGTGGTGCCATCGTCTGAAGGGGACGCCACGCACGCCGACTTTGTGGCGGCCGCGACTGCCAATGGGCACACCGGACCCATGGCGCAACCCACGGCTGCGGCCTTGTCCCAGATGACGGCGCCTGATCTGGACAATATCCTGTCCGCCAATCCTACGCTTGTCAGTCAGCTCTTGTCTAGCCTGGGTTCATCGGGTCTGAGCGGAGTCGACAGGAACCAATCTTCAACAAAGACTAATCCCGGGGCACCACCACCAGGCCCCCCGCCCGGACCTCCTCCGGGCCCGCCTCCAGGCCCCCCACCCAAATTTCCCTCTGATTCGCCGTCCAATCCATCTCTGAGCCCGACTCAGGATTGGCAAGGTTGGCATCATCATCATCACCAGCCTCAGGCACCATACCCTCAAGCTGCCCAGTCCTATGGACAGGGATGGAATGCCGCATCCGCACCTCAGCCCAGCAGCTCAAACGCTAGTCGATACGCAGCTTATACTGGTCCTACGCACATAGAGTATCGTAATGCGGCTCAAGGCCCTGGACAGGTCGACCATGGCTGGGGCCCTCGACCTCCTCAACCTTTCAGAGGCGGTGGGGCACCGATGCGAGCGCGAGGCATGATGAGGGGCGGTCGCGGTCGAGGCGGCTTGTGAGGAGCTCAAGAGGAGCTCAAGATCTGCTTAGACATGCCGACTTTATGCGTGTTTGGCGGTTTTTGGAGCGGAGGAGAGGGGGCGAGCCACCGCCATCACTCACCCGCCACTCTCTCAGAAGCACCGCTGAGCTCAGTGGCAAATTGTGCGAAGTGATTTGCACACTGACTCATCCTTTGGTATTTTTCTCAATGCCAAGGCTCTCTCTCATCCATTGTACCTTTAGTTTTCAACCAACGACCGTGCTAAAATCGAAAATCTCAATAGCTAATACAACCTATCAGACAGATGACACGCGAATCAGATTCGTGGACAGCGGGGCGAAGTCTTCTACGCTGTCATTGACCGCATATGAGGCCAGGCCACTACGATCGGGCGATGGGTCTGAGCCAGATAGAATTGCATTCCATTTCGAGAGAGACAAAAGTGAAGGGCGGCGAAAGTGCTGACAAAAGAGCAGTATGGACTCAGAAAGCACCAGCTACGCAGGTCGTGCGCCTGCCTTGTGCGCAAAAGCGCTTGTCTAGAGATAAGGGCAAGAGACGAGGGTATCACTGCAAAGGGCGCGCTCCTATTCGCACTCGGAGTTACAAGAAGGAAAAAGAAGTGAGAGCTGCGGGTCGATATACGAGACGTATGAAGAGGCATCCTCCAAAGGTGTCTACTCCACGACACATGCGAGACGATCAAGTCAGAATCACTTGCGGCCCATGAGCTTGGAGAAACGACGGCCGAGGGTCTCGCCCTTGTTCTTGAGGTCCTCCTTGGCGTAATCGCTCTTCTCTTCAACCTTCGCCTTGACGCTGGTGCCGTTTGTCTTTGGCGCCGAATCCGCGGTGGCGCCGTTGGGAGCAGCACCGTTGGGAGCAGCAGGAGTAGTAGCGGTGGGCTCGGACGCTTGACTTTGCTCCACGGCAGCTGCAGGCTTGTCGCCGTTGACAGCCTTCTCGGTCGCAGCGGCGTCGGCCTGAGGAGCATCTTTGAAGTTCTCAGATGGCTCCGCAGCCGCTTCTGCTGCGGCAGCAGGCGCGGCGGGAGCGGGGTCGGCCGCTCCTGTGGCTGGAGCGCCCTGAGGCGCCGCACCGAGGACAGCGTCCACGCTGCCAGCCTGGTGAGGAGCGACAGACTTGGTTCCGGGAGGAGGAACCTTGCCGTCAAGACGCTCACCTTCGATACGGCGCGCAGTCTGCGGAAGTCAAGACACTTCGAATGAGCGCTAGATTGTCAACTTTGCACTCGCGCTGCCCAGACGCACCTGCTCGTCGCCGTACAGAGTGACCCAATCGCTGTCGTTCACAGCCTTGGCAGTCTTGGCCTCAACATCTGCAGCGGACTTGCCCTCTTGCATCTCCTTGATCTCGCGCTTGAGAGTGACAACGCATTGTTGTCTGCCAACAATGTGGCGGAGCGTCGAGCCGTCCTTTTGAGGGTACTCCCAGGTGACGATGCCTTGGCCGTCCAGAGTGCCGTCTCTGTGAGGGACACCCTTTCCTCGGTAGTAAGGCTCCTGCTCGTACTGAGCAACGCGGAGCTGCTTGACGAGGAGCTTTCTCTTCTCAACGAGCTTCTCGCTACGAGAGGGTAGAAGTTCGTTGAGGACCCGATCTGAGAAGAGATGCACAGTCGCATTTCACTCACTCCTTGTCACCCTTGGCCCAAGTAGTCGTAGCCTTTTCGTACTCGTCGGCCAATCCGATGTAGGTACCCCAGGTCTCCTTGCGCTTGGACTCGTTCTTCAGGTTGTCGTTCTCGCCCTCGACTGGCTCGGGGAAAGTGTACACGTTCTTCATTGTGCCACCAAACTCTTCGAGGAGACGCTCCTTGGGAATGTGCTTCTCGAGCTCCTCGGGCTTGGAGGTGAAGGCGACTTTGGCGCGCACAACGGGGTCGAGGAGGGGACCCAAGATCTTCCAGATACCCCAGAAGATCCAGGGCGCATTGTGAACGTAGACAATGCCCAGAGACTCGGGGTAGTACGACTGCAAGCACTTGACGATGTAAAGGATGCAGTTCCTAGATGATCATTGAAAACCAAGGGGCAAGCTTGCATATCAATCGCTGGCACGGCGTAATCACGTGACAGAGCCTCGCGGCAGGGCTGAAATTGCGACGTTGCAAAGGCGACCAAGACTCACCAGTCCATGTTCTTGAGACCAAAGTTTGTCATGTTGAA